CTCTGAACTTTTGCTCAATTTTACTGTAAGCCTAGCACTACTCTATAAGTAAAGTTTATTCATGTAAAAAAATGCATCAAACTCTTTAAATTTAAACACATCTATTTGTCTATAGCAACACTGGCTACCTTATCTATAATAATAAAAGCGTAATATACTAATTAGACTGGACGTCCTTCCAGACGACCTTTTAGACGAAGCCGGGGCTGCGAGGGAATCCCGGGTCCTGGGTGCCAGAGGGAAGCCAGTGCCAGTAGCCAGGGGAAGGAAATCCTACTCTTGCACGAATTTCGTGCATCGGGCCTTTAGTCCTATATAATAAAAGGGTAATATGTAAATTGACCCTAACAGCGGAACAACCCGGAACGACCAGTTGCTATGACACGCACAGCTCAACCAGCCCCTGGTGGTCAGTGCGCTCCCACAGCGGGAGTTCCACTCAGCCACAGACTGGGCTGACGGCTGTAAGCGCAGTGGCAGTGGCGGGAGCCTCTCCTGCCTCCTCGGCAGTGCTAAGGATGTCTGAGTGCAGCTTAGGCCTGCTCCCTGTGGGGAGGGGGCCTAAGACACAGTCGGACATCCCACGAGGGCTCCTGGGCTGCCAGAGGAATGTCTGACTGCCAGCTTACGCCTGATCCCCCGGGGAGCAGGCCTAAGTTGGCAGGTGGATATCCCCCGAGGGGTCCCAGACTGCCAGAGAATACAGGTTGGGCTGAGGGACCCCCGCCCCCCGAGTGCACGAATTTTTGTGCACCAGGCCTCTAGTTTGATATAATCAGTTTTACTATATAGGTTATGCGTTTTATTACTCAGCATTTTATCCCATAAAGAGTGTTCTGTTACCAATTACTCAAAGAAATATTTCCAGTGATTATTAGATCATTCTACTGTAAGAAGTTATTTTATGTATCAAATCTATGTAAGACAAACTTTTCACTTTCCATAGTCTTATTATCTCTGGGGGAAAAAGAAACCCTGGGGGAATTCCTTACCGGGTTGCTTTCTTTAGTCCTTCATAAGCAAACCAAAGTTCTCCATCCTCATTTAAATGTTCCAAATCTTCCACAGACAGCCTGGAAAATAAGGAGGGTAAGAAAGTCTATCATCTCTCTCATTGTGTTACACGTTTCTAAATGTTTGATAATGCAAAAATGATTACCTGCTTCTCACGTCTGCAATGTCATAGCTTTCGAGAAGTTGCTTGGTGATCTCCGACATCTTTTCTGAGAGGAAAAGGCAGAGCTGGTATAAATTACATTCTTGCCTGATTTCTCCCGTTCCCTTTCTAGGGCCCAGTTACCTTCACAGAGTCTCCAGCTAACCATCCCATCAGCCAAGAAACTGACCAGCTATTTAACCCACCAGCTATCCAACCAACCAACCAACCAACCAACCAACCAACTAGCTACGGAGCCAACCAGCTAGTCAGCTTGCCATATACCCAACCAACCAGCTAACCAACCAGCCTCATGCCAGTCAAAGGAGCATTTCCTCACCAGTGACACTTATGACACATTCAGTCTGCACCCATGGGCTAGGTGCCTCATAGTTTTGTTACCTCTCATTTCCCGCTTTTGCGACTGCACATGTTTTTCCACGTCTATCTTCTGTGTCTGAAGTAGCTCTATCTCCTTTTCAAACTCAGAGATTGTCTGAATCACAGCAATGACGAGGTGAAGAAAAAAGAGCTATTGTAATTTTTATCAAACAGAGGGAACACTCTTACAGCACCGTCTACCCATGCAGGGTGTCCTCACTGCTGCTTCTTGGCTAAACTCTTGATAAACCATCCCTGCCCATACATACAGCGTGGCCTTGAGACATGTTTAACTGCCCCCAAATACTGTTAATTATTTCCAGATCTACTTGGTTGTATCAACAGAATTGGTTTCCCTACTTAAAGGGAAACGATAACTAATTACTACAAGCTCTGGTGGGGTGAGGAGGAAGGAGAGCCCAGAGAAGGAAATTCAAAAGGGCTGATTATCTTTCGCCGTAGGATGGAATCTTGGATGTGGGCAAGCCCGCCACGTTTGGAAGTGTGGGTTTAGGCTCCAGCTGGGTTTAGGAGTGGCGCAGCGGCAGAGCCAGGCGCACCCAGGATTTGGGGGGTGG